GTTTAAGTATAATTTTTTCTAAATTAATAATTTAAGAGTTATCAAGAGAAAAATTGATTTTTTATTTGGGACACCCTCTATATTTTTAATTAACTGAAAAGAATTTAAAATTACCTTTCCAAAAATATAGCGCACTTAATATTTTGTTATAATCCCCTTCGAATTACAGAATTTTTAAAAGTTCGCCACATTTAACTAGTATGCTTTGGACCCCTTATTGATGATGTGCCCCTAATGGAACTCGAAAACATATTTTTCCAGCAAGACGACGCGACGCACCGCCTATGAACGCTGAAGTTATCAGCAAATTTGTGCAGCCAATTTCAAGAATAACTAACCAAGATCCCAGCTGTTGGCCGTCGAGGCCGCCTGACTTAGTGCCCATCGATCTAATCCTATGGATATATTTGCGGAAGAATAAAGGCTCCTTACTATTCCCAATAATCTAGACAAGAATTAGAAAAACTTAGCAGTTATGAGAGGGTATCTTTCACCCCCACTGAGTTAATGAATTCCGCGAGAAATGTTCAAAAACTGCCCCGTCTGTCCATAACAGAAGACGATCGATATGTCGAACACCTGTAGCAAAATCTCATGTCTTGGTTTGCTATTTATTTTTATTGTTATTAGATATAGTTTAAATGTGTTGATGTTGGTTAAATATATTTTAAATTGTTATAAAAGTCTGCATCTCTCATAGCAAATATTATTTTCGTTTTAATTGATGCTCACAACTAGATTTTTTTGCATTACAGCCGGTGCCGTTCAAAGCCTACTTATTTAAAGCGGGCGAATTTTGATATACTCTATATCTCGAAGAGGAATCGAGCAGAATATCAAGTGTGTTATATTTTTGGAAAGGTAATTTTAAATTATTTTCAATAAATTAAAAATATACAGGGTGTCCCATATAAAAAATCAAATTTTCTGTTGATAATTCTTAAATTATTAATTTTAAAAAAAGTATACTTAAACCATTAAACTCTACGTAAAAAGGTGCTTTGGAATTGTTTTCATAAAAATACAAAATTTTCCTTAGCAAAAAAGTTACAGCGATTTGTTAAAAATGCATATTTTTGAAAAACACCCCGTAACTCCGAAACGGTAACAGATATCGATATGCGGTTTTCACCATCATGTTTTTGACAAAAATTGAGCTCCAGACACCAATATTAGTTTTTGTCTATCTCCTATAGAAAAGGGTGTTTCCATTTAAAAGCGTCGAATTTGACCCATCCTGTACAATGAGAGGCTGCTTGCCAATGACCAACTAAATGGATATTTCAGGTGAATTTGCATTGTGAGACCCGGTTGAGTATATAAGCCCCAGAAATAAGCGATTTTACAAAATCTTCATTTTTTTAACCTTTGTGAAATATGCCACTCGCTAAAAATCGTCAGGAAATGTCTTTTATACTCCGCTCAAGAATTTTTTAGAATTTTTTGAAGTGGTGGAACAATAAGAAAAAAAAATAAAAAATATTTTTTTTCTAAAATCTTCCTGTTTTAACTAACTCATATTTTTGTTTGGTTTAAAAAAGTGAGTAGAAAATATGTTTTCATTAAAAATACATCCTTGCCAGAAATAAACATAAAGATTATTATAAAAAAATGAGTTTGAGAAGATTTAAAAAAAAAGATTTTAGAAACAAAATGAGTTTATAATTTCTTCATATTGTTCCACCACTTCAAAAAATTCTAAAAAATTCCTGAGTGTAAAGAAGCGTAAAAGACATTTTCGGACGATTTTTAGTGAGTGACATATTTCATAAAGGTTAAAAAAATGATGATTTTAATTTGCTTTCCTCCGCTAAAAATCGGCTTTTCGTTTAAGAATCATGATCATATTATTTTTTCATGTCTTAGACTTCTAAAAATTAGAAAAAAAAATCATTAATTAATTTTGAATTTTACTATAAAAATAAAATTGGAATCTGGACCACTGTTTGAGTTAAAAGGCTAAAAATTTAGCTAAATTATTTTGATTCGGCACCAAATCGATCCCCTGAGTGCGAGTCAAAAAAGCCGCGGGAGCAGATTTCCAATATTAATCCGGCTATACCCTTCATTTGTACCTTCCTAATTCCTCTATAATATAGAAAAAAAATACGTAGTCACAATAAGGTTGACTAAATTGACAGCTAGATGTCAATTTATCTTCTAAATTATTGGGCAATGCGATAGAAAAATTATCTACTGTTTTCCCTAAAAAAAGTGTATAAAAATAAAGACAAAAATAATTTGTTTATGAAGCAAAAATACTTAAATAATTAATTAATGTTTTATCTAACATCGGGACTTGAATTTCGCGATAACAAAGGCATAAAACATTTACAACATAATGATATAACTAATTATAGTGGCATTAAAAGTTTCTCTGGCCTGTGAATGAAGCGATGCAGTTCTCAGAACAATGTTTCTAGTGTAAATAAATAAAACTTTTATAACTTTTCCGACAATTACATCTATCCGTGTAATTTTACTGCAGTTTCTGTTGTTTTAGAAATCCAACTACAATATTATTTTTCAAACCTAATTTTCTCATACGTTTACATTTTTTGTTATAAAAATTGTTTGAATGTTATATTCATCGATAATAGGCTTGAAAAATTATTTCAAGCAGGGATGTTGCATATCTCCTATACTATTCAAAATATACCTGCAACAAGCACTAAAAAAATGGATGCTTAAGTGTAGCGGAATGGGAATCCCCCTAATAAATGAGGACACCCTATACACCCTATTTTTTGCGGACGACCAGATAGTCCTAGCCCAAGATCACGACGACCTTGAATATATGGCAAGGAAGCTGATAGAGGAGTATAAGAAATGGGGGTTGGAGGTAAATATCACCAAAACTGAATGTATGACTGTAGGGGGCCACAAGAGAACATAGTCTTAGAGGATGGAAGCGTGATAAAAAACTCTGAAAAATATAAATATCTTGGAATGAAAATAACTAACGATGGAAAACTCGATGAGGGAATAAAAGATCGAATAATGCAAGGCAGGAGGGCAATATCTATGTTGAATGGTGTACTGTGGGATCAAGGAATCTCTAAAGCTAATAAGAAGAACATATATAATACGGCAGTGAAAAGCATAATAACTTACGGAAGCGAAGTATGGCAGTTGAAAAGCAGAACAGAAAACATGCTATTAGCGACCGAAATAGATTACTGGAGGAGATCTGCTGGAAAATCGAAAAGAGAACAAATAACCACCGGCAGAGTAAGAGAGATTATGGGAGCAGAACACACAATTGTGGACGACATAAGAACAAAACAACTCATGGTTTGGTCATCTGCAACGAATGCCCGATCACAGAATACCAAAACAAATTTTACTGTGGACACCTCGAGGCAGAAATAAAAGAGGAAGGCCGCGACGAAGCTGGAGGGAGGGTGTGGATAAAGAACTAGAAAATAGAGAAATACTTAATGATCTCTGGCTAAATAGAGAAGAGTGGAGGTTAGATGTCGGAAATCGTCGTAGAACGTTCTGAACTGACTTATTTCCTTCATCCAAAAAAAATACGTGATAATTAATTATAGTTAGGGGTTGGAATCTTTGGTGGAACAAGAAAATCAAACACTAATTCGCCACAATACACACCAAAACACTTTACTTTTAAACACTCGACGCGTGTTTCACTAACCATGTTAGCATCATCAGCAGATATGATTGAAACATTAATTTTTAATCATCTGCCGATGATGGTGGTCAGAGTAACGCGCATCTAGGGTTAGAAACAAAGTACTACTGAGTATTATAAATACAAACATGTGTTTAATAAGTGCACACAAAATGAATGTAAGAGACATTTACCTAATGCACCTGTTTAGATAATGCATGCCTGACAATAGATAGAATAAGAATATAGGTATCGATTTTTTTATGCAAATAATTACAAAAATTTTAGAATTTCAAGTCGTCGTATTAAAAAATTCAAAATGTGACCAAAGCTTATAATTTTAATAATTTGTTTGCTTTACTTTGATTAATCGTGATGTAACATTTTTTTTGTAAATTGTAGAGTGATGAACCACCCCAAAAAATACCAAGGAGTAAAGAAGCAGAAATAACTACCTACTATCGAGGAAAATAATATCACTTTACTTACTACAGACTAGGAAAACCTAAATTTATCAGAAAATAATATACCTCGTAATATGCCTGTGTATGTGATGTATAGATTTCTCTTAGATCAAAATAAATTTTAGTTGAGTCAATGGTATTCGCTATTGGTTTAAGAAAAGTGTCTCTTTAATCAAGAAATGTCCCTTTTCAATCAAGAATTTTTGCATGAATCAAAGAGACTATAGTTCTTGTAGCAAGAACTTCTTTGCATATTAATTTTGGGTCAAGAGTGAAATACTTTGGGCAGATAGATTCTTCTATTCTCAAAAGTAATTTTTAAGGCTTAAGAAAAGAGAGTTAATGCTTTGGGCAACGAAACGTCGTTCTTGGCCCTATTGAAAAGCGCCAATCTTTTGGGTCAAAGTCATATTCATTTCGACTGAGAGATCCTTTTTTTCAGTGAAGTAATGGTGTTTTAGACCCATTTAAAAAACTGGTTTTTGAACAAAATGTTTAACTACAATCTAACCAAACCAATGTTTTTTTTTTGGTTTCTATTTAAGGGTGAACATACAGAGAAAAAGCAAATCAGTTTTATTCAAAAACGTTTTTTTTTTCAGACAAAATCGTTTTTGACTTTTATAAAATCATTTTTTTTTTAAATTTTGTTTCGTAGAGAAGCAGATGTCAAACAATAAGAAACTAAAGAAACATAAAACGACAATGCTTGATCGACGTCGATCAGACTGACTATGACTAAATGAGCCTAAACTTGTCTTAAACCTTACGCGACTGAATTGAGGCATCACATGAAACATAACACAGCTTTAATCAAAGATGTTTTTGTTCTTTCTCTATGCTTCCAGCATCATAAAACCGAAATATTCATTAAGTTTTTTAACTTCAATAAAAAAACTTACCGGAATTTCCAAAATTATTCTGCTGTACCGCCGCGTACCAATCGAGAAAGTACCCCGCCGTTTTGCTAGTTTATTCTCCAAAAAAATTGAATAAATAGTCTACTAACACTTCTTTCTTCTATAAAACTTTCCTCCTTCAGTTCAATAAAAGTCTTCGCACCACATCACAACACCATCGATACGCATCGACCGATCTTAATTGCGATGCCTCCTATCTAAATGAAACTGTTTTTAGATCTATTTAACCTTGCCTTAAGTATACTTAAACGCTCTTAATATTGTTCAATAATATAGTCACTGCCAGTTACCCAATGGTCAAACAATTAAAAATAATTATCTATTTGCTTTAGTTTCTTCGTCCTCTATTTTTTCGTAGCCTTTCGTCGCACAATTTTTTTTTTCAACTTTGATACGAAAAGATTAGTGTCTTTGAGTTGGATCCTCCGAAAAACTATTAAAGTTCACACCGTTTTCAATCCAGGAGCAAAAAACAAAACGAAAGCGCGCGTATTTCGGCGACCATGTGACTATCGGTCCGCAGCAGCTTCCTGCGACGCTCTCAATGGACGAAGCGTTTCAAAACGACTGACTGTCGAGCGAAACAAACGCCGCTCGGCCGCTCTTCGCTTGTTTCGCCGCGACTTACCCCCTTGCCTGCGGGGGGGTAAGACCGCCTCTCCGTGCTTTCCTCCCCCCTTCACCCTGGTGCGGTCCGCGCCGGCCGCACGCATGAGCAAGAATCGTAATTAGATTCGAATGTCCAGTCGCGTATTTTAGGTGGCCGGCCAGAAGGGGTTGTGCGGGGGTGGTTTTGGAAGGGGTGCGGTGGAAGGGGTGGAAATAAGAGCGAGCGAGAGAGAAGGGAGGACGGTGGAGTTTCGGTGAATTATTGCGGGGTTGACTTTGAGGAAGGGGTGATTTGTAAGGAAGCGTTTTGGACGGGTTGTTTTTTTGAATTTTATGGGGTTGTAAAGTCGATGGTCTTTGCGGATGTAACTGATTATAATAGTCGTTTAACTTTATTTTATTTTATCACACGTCTTTATTATCAGAAAAAATATAGGTTCTTAATCAAGATGAATAATTTGATCAATTTGTAGGTGCAATGATGTTGATGAAGGGGTCAAAAAAGAAAGTAATACTATGCGATCTGTGAACCACCCCAGATATTGAACTACTTTTGAAAGTTTCAGTATTGCTTATTTGCACAGTAGTTTCCTCTGCGAAATGTTTCGAAAACATTTCAGTCGCTTTCTTTTATCTATTGTCCTGAAATCGACTACTTTGATTATAGTACCACTGGGAAATTGGAAAATTTCTTCTGTCTGTTTTTCAAATACTTTAGCCAACAAATCCTAAAAAAAACAACACAATTAGTGATGATCAAATGCAAGACCAAGACCAAAATTTTCTTGGTTTTGGTCTTCGTCTGGGACTTAATTCTATTGGCCTGTACTCCTGGCCTGTACTGGCCTCTATTGGCCTGTACTCCTGGTTTTTCAGCGTCCAATCTTCTGCTTCTTAGTCTTGCTGCAAATATATTTTTACGAATATGGCTTATTGCTACCGTAACTCACATATTCGACGTCACTAGTTTTGGAGAAACCTTTTTTATTATGTTTTAATTAATAAATTATAGGGTAAAGAGGTAGGTAAATTATTTTTTTCATTATTATCTATGAGAAATGAACTATAGGTAAATAATAAAAAACAGGAACAAATGCCATTACGCAAGGCCGCAAGAGTCTTGCTTTGTAGGTCTTGGTTTTGGCCTTTCTTTATGTGCAAGAATAAGACCAAGACAGCAAATACAAGACCAGTCTCATACTTAAAAACTTTTATACTTTTTTCTACAATCGTGCAAAAAGTAGCTATTTTTTAAACTATCTACTGTCAGGGCCGGACTTGGCCAAAAAAATTTGCCGCCCCTTAACATTCTTCTAAAAAAATTACGGATATGAAAAACATTTATTTGAATACAGGACCAACAACAGAATAGACCAACAGAACAGGTCAACACAGAATATAAAATAAATATTAAAATATTAATATAAAATGACAAACAAACGAACAACAAAACTATAAGGTTTGTTTATATGCCTGTAAAGGCTTCCTACGTACTTTTATGTTCGCAAAATTATCAATTACTTCATCGTAATTGATGTAAAACTGCCAAATGATTTACACGTTCTGTTTCCATAGCGGACCGTAAATAAGTTTTAATACGTTTCAATGCAGAAAACGAGCGTTCAGCAGAACAGTTAGTAATAAAAGTACATATGAAGATTTTTAATGCTATGAAAGTATTTGGAAACAGATCTTGAGCGTTTTTTTCATAAATTATTTTAAGAAGCTCTCTAACAGAAAATTTGCCGCCCCTAAAAATCTGCCGCCCCAGGCCCGGCACTGTCTACTGTATTAACAGTCAAATTTTTTTACTCTAGTGCAAAAAGTCAGCATGATTGCAACAAAACTCATGCGTCATGCAACAAATATGTCCTTTTTGCACTATAGTTACACAAATAACTATTTTAAGATTTATTGACATTCAGCTTATTGTTTAGAATTTGTTTTTTAAAGTATTAGAAAAACGATGGTAACTGATAAAATATTTTTTTTTCGAGAAGAAAAAGGTTAAAATAACTATGAGAAATACATTTTGACATTTAGAATCATACAAATAAGTTTTTGGGGTGTCCAAACCTGCATGTCATGATGTCGTCTCAATAAATAGGAAAGTTACTTATTCTTTCCATGCACTTAAGTCATTTTTTACGACTAATTTTATTTATTCTTTAAAAACTATTGAATCAATGAATTATTGAACTAAATATATGAGCATTAAATAAATATCTGTCTGATCCCTAATAGTTATTTTTTTAACTTCCGATCATTATATCCTGTAGATACTGAATTGCCCTTACATATTCTGTAACACGGGATTTCGCAGTGTCGACTGTTACTAATTTTTTTTGATGTTCCGACATTAGTATTGGTGAGAGCCAATGACATCAGATGTTATTGGAAAGAGCCTCTTTGTTTCTCTAAAATATGAGCCATTCCAACTCCACTTTTAAAAAGTCTTAAATTTAAGTGTAAAACTACTTAATACATTCATAGCATTAAATTTATAATATTTTTCCGAAAATTATGGAAATGGTAAACTCTGATGATTGAAAAAATGTTATAAATATAAAGAGTTATGAATATTCCAAGTGGTTTTGCTCTTAAATTAATATATTTCAAGTGGAGTTAGTCGAATTGTGCAGTGAACGGCTCATATTATGTACAGTGGTGGCCAAAAGTATGGAAACTTTTTACTTTTTAAAATATCACAGAAAATATTGCTATGCTTAAACTCTCAGGAATATAAATGAACAGCTTATCAGCAAATAAAAGTATTCCAAAAATTAAATAGCGAAAAAAATCTGTTTAGCAGTTTTTGTAGGAGAACAATAGATTTCTTGTGGCCAAAAGTATGGAAACCATAAATAAATACATTAAAATTATTTAGTTTAAGCTGATAAACGGTACGACTTGCTTCAGATAAATATAAACATCATGCCCAAGTCTAAATATTTCTCTACGGATTTAAAAAATAAAATAGTTAAATTATACAAGAGCGGTTATAAACAAATTCAAATAAGTAAAAATTTAAACATTTTAAAAGGCACCGTTTCGAAAATAATTCGTAAATTTAATAAAACAGGGAACGTTTCAACAGCTTTTAAGTCAGGAAGACCAAGAAAGTTGTGCAACCAGGACAATGAAAGTAATGAAGAGAATATCAATGGGAGATCCAAGAAAAACATCCACAGACATTTCTCGAGAAATGGGTGAAAGGGGAATATCGGTGTCTGCAAGCACGGTGAGAAGAAGGTTGGATGACATGGGACTTTTTGGAAGAGTTGCGGTGAAGAATCCACTAATATCAAAGAAAAATAGGATGGCCCGCTTTAAATTTGCTCAAGATCATCTCACCTGATCTTATCAGAAATAGAATACTATACTGTTTAGCGACGAAAGCAAGTTTCAACTGTTTGGTAGTGACGGGAGACGTTATGTCCGAAGACCAAAAGGTACACGGTACAGCCATAAGTACCAGATGCCCACAGTAAAACATGGGGGTGGGAGTATAATGGTATGGGGGTGTTTTTGTCGCTCAGGTGTTGGTCCTCTTGTTAAAATTGATGGGATAATGGACCGTTTTTTGTACAAAGACATATTGGAGAATAATATGTTGCCTCATGCTGATGAAGAAATGCCACTCAGATGGTTGTTCCAGCAAGACAATGATCCCAAGCACAAATCTCGGTTTGTTCAAAATTGGTTAAATGAACATAATGTTCCACTAATGGATTGGCCCTCACAGTCTCCGGATCTTAACCCCATAGAAAATTTATGGGACCATTTGGATAGCAAAATTCGAAGCCATTCTATTTCAAATAAAAATGAATTATGGGAAGTGCTAAAAACTGAATGGGCGGCCATATCCAGTAAAGATTGTACGAGATTGATCGATTCGATGCCACGAAGATACGAAGATGTAGAGAAGTAATTAGTTCAAAGGGATATTCCACTAAATATTAGTCATTTTTATATTATCTTGAATTTTAATAAACATTCTTCTTAAGTTTCCATACTTATGACCGAAGGAAATATTCATAATTTTTTATATATTTTTTGATAGCTGCAATTTTTTATTTAAATGTATTAGGTTTTGTAGGAAATTATTTGTAGGTCACGATTATATAAATCGTTTTATTTCATATTTTAATTTCCCAGCATAAATGACAAATTAAAAAAGGATGAAACATTATACATAATAACATTACCTCCCTCCCTCATAGTTAAAATATTAGACAAAAAAAAAATTGCTTCGCCTTTTGTGTATTATTAAATACCTACTAAATATTTCTCAACTAATCTTTTCAATACAACAAGCCTGCCTTTTTATAATGTTTATCTGCCCATTCACAGCTAGTTACTAAATAGGCTAAATCTCAGCACGGACAATAATTCCATTTGAAATATTCAATAGCTCGGACATTAGATAATACTGAGGATAATACCGAGCAGATGATGTAAGTGTTGTAACGTGAAAATTTGATCAATCATTAGCTTGTTAGCTAATGTAGGTACGTAAATGCATATTAAGATTAACGTCTTCAGTATTATTCTCGTATTTTGTGATTATATTTTAATAGCTTCCGACGACGGGAAGAGATATACACTGAACCAAAAATAGACATAAATATAATGAAAAAGTTCATTAATATAATGAATTAAATCATTAATTTTGAGCCGATGAACGATTTTATTGGCACAATGAAAAGTAATTCATTAACTCTATGAACTTTAAGTTCATTAAATCAATGAACAGTGTTCATTAATTTAAAGAACACATTCATTGGTACAATGAACAGATTTCTTTAATATAATGTACCTAAATCCTAATATTAATGAACCGTTATCATTAATACAATGAAATAATTTCATAACCTATTTAGTTATACATTTAAACGTCGACACTATTAGTAACTCTTGTTACACCGTATAATCGATGATGA